ATATGTATAATATATATATTAAACGCTGATCTCGTAAGGCTATTTAGTTTCAACCCAAGGAGATTCTGGTTTTTGCCTCCACTCACCTGTATGTTGCGCTGCAGTCTCTGTCCAGGAGAAATCACACATGTCTCCCACCATGACTCTGCTCTTCTCCCCTTGGACACCTCTTAGGCCTCTTCCTGGCACATCTCTCTATGCCCCCCAGGAGGTCATGCTCCACAAACTTTGACATGCCCCTTATCATGCTTTGTCTGCACCTCATGCAGTCATCTTCCTCAACATCATTCCTCTGACCAGACTTTCCATTGTACTTCACCACACATCCTTCATTAAGCTCCCCTGGTTACTACACTATTGTACTTCTCACTCCCCCTCTCAAGCCTCTTCACTCTCCTGCTATCTCTCAGATCTCTACCTGCCACATCTGGCCCCTCCATTTCCAGGGGTTCAGAAGAGCAAAGCTAGGGGTGGGAATTAGTGTCTTCAGGTTTACTTTAAAGATGCAAAACAAGTGAATATTGATATCCAGTGATTAAAGTTTTAGTTCCTACATTACCAGTGCCAGCTAATAGGGCTGTGTGAATAGGGCTTCTCCATTGATCTGTGCTGTCACACATAGCAATCGGTGTGCAGAAAGACCGCTGTTAATACAGCATTACACTAAACTCTTAATGGGCAAGGTCTGACAGAATGTTCTGTCATCTCAGAGAGCTGAGCGGATGTGACCCATGTTTAGCAAACTGATCTAGCCAATTCACCTCCTCCCTTTTTGTAACCTTGATGATCTTTGAAGGATCTAATAACCTAATCCATGCAGTCAAATTGACCACGCATCTGTTCTCCACCGATTTTCATTCCCTCGGTGACTCCCCCCCCCCTCCCAAAATGAGAATGCCCCATAGAGGGTTTTTTGCCTATATCAACCTCACTACCATTCTCAGACATTTATTTTCAACCCATTCATTGGCAGGTGCCTTGATGCTAAACAGGTCATTAAAAATAAACTACGTTAATTTGGAGCATCTTGTATACTGTGGTCATCATCATCTAACAGTCATGAACATGGCAAATTTTGTTTTGCCACGTGCTGGAAAATGGGAAAGAATTTCCTGTTCTTCAGCAGCAATGGCATGGTGTTACTGATGGAGAGTAATAATGCACAAGGTGCCGGGTGTGAGCTGCACTGCCCCGGCAGGAAAGGGCAATACCACAAGTGCAGGAAGCATCATTTCAGCCATGTCTGCAGCAGCCTCCACCTACAAACTGCTAAGCCATGTAAATTGTACATTTTTTTTTTAAAGGTTATGTTAATTTAACTTGCACACCCCCTGCACTGATGGACACATCCCACAATCCTCTCTCTCTCCTTCTGTAACCTGTTTGGGATTGTTTAGTACTTCCTGCAGGGAACTTACCACTTTCAAATTGCTATCTTACAGTTTTTTCCTTGAGTGAATGCATTTCTCAGATAAGTAGATGAGAATACAATACCGATTTTTCTTTTTTTTAATACTAATGAGAGCTTTCTCGTAAGTGAAACCTACAGCTATAAAGACATTGGGCTTCCATTAGATTGTCCTTAGGTTTATCTTGAGGTAGTGGTGCATGGTAAGGAATAATGGCACACTATCTTTGATAATTAATGTAGTATTTAATAAAGGGAAATCAATGGGGGTGTACAATCACTGTGGAATGTGTGCCTTTTTATAGTGCTACTACCAAACCTTCACCCCCTCATTTTTGTGATCTATTCATGTTAACTAAACATTTAGATAGACATTGTTTTAGGTAGACTTTGTCTATCATACATGGTTGCAAGTCTTTCCATGACTTGTGTGCATATAAATCTGCAAATAATTTTTAAGGCAAGGTCTAGTCCCCAGTTGTATTGTTTCTGCTTCACTTGTTGGCACCTACTAAACACTACATTGTTTCCCACCCCTGATCTTAAGTGCCCAGACCCACTTTTAGAATTAAGCCAAGATTTCATGTTGGTGCTTGTTCACAAACACAAGCGGGTCACAGTTTTTTTACAATTTACTGCAGCTTTTTTTTCCAGCCTGTGCCTTTTGTTACAAGTGTTACAGGGATTTACTAGATCACTAAAGAAAAAGGCGTCATAGTTGGCCATAAACCACACGTGAGGAGAAATTACCTGAAAAGTTTAAAGGGAACTCGTCAGGAAAGAAATCTTGGCAGAGCTAGGAAGTGTGGACTTTCTGGCGGTCATCACTATACTTCATTTTTTTTACCAGGTTAATGAGAGCCTTGTTCACACCATAGAATGCATAGCAGCTCATGCAAAAAAAAAAGCTGATCAATTACTTGACCTGCGTTGATGTGTTTTTCATGCACGTAGACTGTTGTGTTTCATTTCTTTTTTTCCTGTTTCCAGTGGCCTCCTTTTCCATTTTGGGGGTTGATTTCCTTTCAGCTGCATTGTGTTTTTACATACGTTTGTGTGTTGAGGAAAAAAGCAGACATGCATTTATTCCCACCTTCCTGCACAGTTGTGGTGTGAAAGGAGCACATAGAAAACAATTGGTGCACATACTTGTTCACAGCAATGACTCATCAGGTACTAAAGGAAGGATACAAATTAAAGCCCCTGAGCTCAGACATTCAAAAAGAAAAGGCCAGCAAATGCACTTCATGCATTTATCCTGATGGGTTCCTTAAAATGTAGGGCCTGCATCAATGGGCAACTGCAGCATGCTTTCTATTGCATTCTGCAAGCATTTAAGATCGGTTCTTGCAATTCAGAATTCCTTAAGTCCAGTAGACTTCATTCTGATCTGCAGTTGACTTCTCTTAAGCTGCTTCAACTTGCCTCAAGCTGCTTTTGCACTACCATTGACTTGTGAAAAGGGAAGCCGCTCTGACATGAACAAATGCTTATCGGCACAGGCAATAAAGATCCCAATACAATATGGAGTACATTTTCCTCTCAGTCTTCTATACTGTCTGAAACAATAACTGAGCAAAACTTTGAAAGATTTCCCATGGCTTTCATGGTTTAACGGCTCAGGGATACTGATACCTGTGTGAATGTGCCATCATTTCATGAATTCTCATTAATACTAAGTGCATTATTTCTTGTTCTGACGGCTGCGTCAGAAGCTTCCCTTGTATACTGTAAGAGCCATTGCCGACCCATCGTACTTGCACTTTGTCAGTCTCGTTTCTTTGGTTTATGCTAAACCCATAGTGTAAAGCATTGTTTCTCTGTTCTGGTCCTTAGTGGCTGCCAATATTTCATGTTCTTTGCAGGTTGATTCTGCAGTGACATCTGGTTGTTGGCCATTACGTACATGAGTTGAGAAACAATGATTTGGAATATACTTAATTTCTTCTGCCTTCCTGGCATTGACTGTTGATGATCTTTTCCAGACCAAATTGAGTGAACCTAGTGAGCTGCAACAAACACTAATTTCTTCCTAGAACACTATTGTAAATAGATTTAAAGTACATTGGTGCTCTGACCGACAACAAATGTATTAACCAAAGTCTTGTGTGACTTTTATTGTATGTGATTGTTACAAAACCAACGTCTCTTCCAGTTATTGGTTTAAAGCACCTTTTTTTTTTTTTTTTTTTTTAAACCACCTTCAAAACTGAATGTTTTATTTGTATTACTGATCATGCAATGTCCTTGTTCTATTGTATATTGTAAAACAGAGCGGTGACGCTATTGTAGATGTTGCTTCGATTTAAGTTGAACATGTTATGAACCCATATATCCCTTCTTGGAACTTATGTTGCCAAAACACTGCCTAGGTTTTCGTACAACACTATACTCTATTAATATTTACAAGATCATTTAATAGCTTTTCTTTTGTTTTTTAAATCCCCCATTGAGAAAGATGCAGCAATATTCTACTTCACCGATACACTGCCTGTATTGTAATGGCTTTATACGAACTTACTATCCTTTTGTCAGCTCAAACAGTGCCATGACAGTTTACATCCATTCACTTCTCACTAGAAGCTTGCAACATACTTGATTAAAGCTAGCCATACACATGGAAATGTAATGAGGGATCAAACTTTTGAATCAGGTTTTTTATTTTTATTTTGCAAAGCACATAAAATGGTGGCTTCCAGTGATCACAAGAAGATGGGATCCAAATTGCTCCAATTGAGTGGGGTGCTCAAAACTCAAAATCGAGGTTGGTAGATTGCTTAGCTTCTGGCAGTAATGTAGGATCTTAAGTTTGATTTCCAGTGGATGGAAAGTAGTGGAAATTGACTGAAACTTGCCACATGTATGGCCACCTTAGCCCTACGCTACTCGCCTAACCCTTAGCCTATTTACAATACACCGAAATCAGTGTGCTGATGATGAGGTTGTTTCAAGCAAGTGGTTAAACTGCCCAGTGGCATGAGATTTACAATCACCTGTATAGATGAACCCTAAACAAGCCACTAGACATTTTAGATCATGTAAATAATAACTTTACCTTTTTGGCCAGAAATCTGGGAGACATTTATATAAAGGCAAGCCTGGATAGTATGCCCCCCAACATGCCTGCACATCATTTGTAATGCACAGCAATATCTACTTTGTGAGGTATATTGATGACAAAATTGTGGGTTTGGTTTTTGCAATTAACAGAAATCAACTTCTCTGCTTCTACGAATGTCCCCTTCAGGAACAAAGATCTATTGGGTTCAGGTCCTTTTATTAAGCTCACCAACAAAA